GTCTTCACCGCCACCCCCAGGACATAACACGCTCCTGCCACACCCCCTATCCTAAACAGACATTAAACCCGCAATCTCTCCGCCTCCCCGGAGAATCAAGGAAAGGATTAAAAAGCAATATTGGATTTGGACATATTGCAGCAATCATAATTCTAAACACGGATAAAACCTATCTCCCGGACAATAAAGCAAATCTTGGGAATCCCACCTCACCTCTTCCATCCTGCAGCTCCCGATTCCAGTGCACACTCCAGTCCTCCTCTTTCAGCGATCCTTACCACCTACGCACCCCGCCCCTCTACCTTGCGTATCATTGCTTTTTCCCCCTCTCATTTTTACAAGCTCGCAGCTACTGCTGATTATTTTCTATTATAAAATAGAAATTACTTGTCGACTTTTGTCAATATGTTTATGCTTTTTACTGAATTACGTTTGTAACTGACCTAATTTTCTGAATTTCTCATTCCAGGTTTCGTCTACTGAAGCACAGCCGATCTCGGCGCTCCCTTCCCACAACCTCACTAGCCGTCCACCAACACTACACCAGAAATCACAGAGCAATTCCCTGTTAAGCACATCCATACCAGCCCTACTGAAATGGACATTAGAACGTTTCTAAAAACGTCTAATAACGGCTCTTTCATCTCCTCATAATTCTGCCTTTTTCAGCTTTAACAGCATGATTCTACCTGATGAATATGCTTAAATTATCACGTTATAAACCAAGCAATCTCTCTAATCTAGACGGCTGCAGCGCTCGGTTGCAATCAACATTACACCCGCCACCCGATTTCTGGCAATCGGAGGTCACAATTACATTTCGTAGTCCGTTTAACATTCGGATGCAAAAGTAGCCCACACATTTATGCTTAAAAACGATCCGCTGGATTTCGCCAATAACTACGGTGTTTGCACGTAATTCACCTACAAGTTCCCGTTTCTCTCTCCCTAATATCCCCCAGCTAAACTAGTGACCGGTTTTCTAATATTTGCATTCTCATTGCGGAAGAACCTCCGGCTAAGCACTTCTATAGAATTCTTAAGCATCAATTTGGAGTGATAGAATTTCAAGCATTAATAAGCTACTTGAATAAATCGACAATCAGTCCCCTTTTATATTCTGGAAGAAAAATATCACGCTAAGCATAAACTGCTCTCCATCTAGCACATCAAACACACATGCGCATTATCCCGCAGGGATGCCTTTTCGTCACTCACCTATTTCATCTCGCAGCAGCAATCTCCGGAATAGAAGAGAAATGATCTAAATCCGATCTTGGCCGTAACAAACTCTGCCCGAAGGGCGTCGCGCACCAGAGGCGCCGACGGCGCGGTGACGCGACGCACTTACGACAGAGAATAGTAGATTAATGCACACCAGACTCACGCATTCATACTTTATCAAATAAACTAATCAATTATACAAATAGCGCTCCGCGGCGCGGCAGAATACGAAGTGTCATGAATTGTGGCTGGGCACTACGGACAGCCGCATTGACTTCCTTATTTATTTCTTTCCTGTGAAAGTCAATGGTTACAGGTTTTCAGCTTCTTCAAAATGTTGTCTTTAGCGTTTAACACGGGAGTCACTAACCTCTAAAACTAAGAGCTACTTTCGGGCACCGATTAACGTGGAGGGCTACCAGTTGGATAAACACTTCTCAAATAACAAATTGCTCAATTTACTTATAATTATAATTTAAGTTTTTGGTTATTTTTTAATAATGAATAATATTCATCCAGGCGTAGTCACTGATCATGTTATGATTCTCTCAAAGTTACCAACAATGATTTAACAGGGTAGGAAATACCCCGTAATTAATATATCAACGTGCAACACTATTTTATTTATCTTTGCAATATTTACATTTTTAAATGATTACTTCTATATTAGAGAAAGCTTACTTGTAAGTGGTGTTATGGTGAGCTATTTTAGAACAGGCCTGTGAGCAACACACGAGAGCCTCGTGAGCTATCTGGTGCCCATCGGTACCATATTTGGTGACTCCTGGTTTAACAGAAATGAAATTCATAAAGGTTCGTAACCATCAGGTAGCGCTTAAAGCATGCGACCTGCTTATGCTTCCTTCCTGAAGCGCCGGAATAGAAGCCATTCATTTACTAGCTATCCAATTTCATCCTCAGTATATCCTTTTTACACAGATGCTGCCCCCTTCGTGGGGTATATCGGGGCCGCCAATGCGCTTCTAACGGGCAATATAGTCAATACATTCTGAAAAAAAAAAAAAAAAAAAAAAAAAAAAAAAAAATTTTAATAAATACTGCTGTACATGTTCCTAGTTGCATAGGAAATCGCTGACTCTCTTTTGCTTTATTTTCAGAAACTGGTATCAGAAGCAGAGCCGCAGCTGACTCCATCTCTCCTTTTAAGATGATAATCCCATAACCACAGCATACACAATTTGCGTCTGCATTCATTTATACATTTTAAGTTACCCCAGAACACCTCATCAGTTTCTCACTGCTCAACACATCCACACATTCCGTTCAATAACATTTTTGGTTTCATAACACCTTAAAGTCATAGGACCATTCAGGCTTCCCACCAGATTCATAATCCAGTCACTCATTCAAAATTGGAGCCACCACCACAGCAGCACACAAGGGCTATCGTAACAACACATACAAACACTAGGAAAGTAGTCTCCCGACGCCTTCAAATCTTATATCTGACTCAGCCACAGCCATCTCAGGGAAGCTCAGAGGACCCTCACCAGCAGACGCAGTAATCCCAGCGGCCAAGGGCATGGGCCTAGTCCAGGGAGAGAATACGACCCAACCATACCAGCTTCCCGAGGGCAGAGGAACTACCCAGTCTCCCAAGGGCGCGGGCATGACCCAGCCATCTAGCTTCCTTTCTTCCTTCCAGCTGATTTGCACTCAGCCTTCTCCCCCTTTTCACTCACCTAACTCCAGTAGGAGTTCTCTCCCCGCCCAGGCCCCCTTGTCACCCCCGCCCCCCCCGGCCGCTGCCACAGAAGTTTTCACTGCCCCCCAACTTTTCTAACTTCTGTAGGACCCCGCCCCCCCCATGGCTCTGGCCCCCGCAGGGGCGTTACCCCGAGCTTCGATTCTCGCAGGAATCATCTCACTGCCCTGGCCTTAGCTTTTTATATTATGTCATTCCATAATGACATATAGTATAGCACTATTTATTTTTCTCTCTGTTTGATTTTATTTATATAAATTTATATCTATATGCACCCACGCATATAAATATGAATTTATATATAGTGCTGTCACCCTCACGCTCTGTTCCCGCAGGAACACCCCCAGAGCACCTATACCGCCCGTCACCCTCCAGTAAGAAGTCTTCACCTCCCCCTCATCTTTCCCGACTCCTACTGGAGCAGCTAAATAGCTCACCCAACCCCGAGCTGTGACACGAGTCATGTCACCGACCCTCCCCGGCCCTAGCTTTTATTTATGTTTATTTTTGTTTATTTCTCACACTTATCTTTTATTTTTTAAATTTATTTATATATATGTATATATATATGCACCCACGCATATAAATATATATTTATATATAGTGCTGTCACCCTCAAGCTCTAACTCCCGCGGAGTTAATCCCGAGCACCGGACCCCCGCAGGGGTCATCGCCCAACTGCCATTTCCCCCTTCAGCTGGGGCTTCACCGACCATTCCTTTTCCCGACTCCAGCTGAAGATGGCACATACAGCTCTCTCTCCCGCAGGAGAGCCAAGAGCTTCGACTCTCGCAAGAGTCAGTAAAAACGCCCCCCCCAAGGCCCTAGATTACCCCATTATATATTTATATATCTATATGTTTCATATAAATATATAATTATATATAGTGCTGCCACCTCCCAGCTCAATCTCCGCAAGGAGTGTTCCTCGAGCAAATTACTCCTTTGGAGTCCCCGCCCCCCCTGCCCCCCTTCACCCCCCTCTCCAGCCGGAGTCCTTCACTCCCCTTCCCTTGTAATGACTCCAGCAGGATTCCCGCCCACCCCATGGCTCTGACCCCCGCAGGGGTCTCCCCGAGTCTCTACTCCAGCAGGAGTATTCACAGCCCAAGCCAACTCTGCTCGGGTTCCCGCAGGAACCTGTTTCACCCTTTGCTCCAAAGGAGCCCTCTTTACCTTTTCTTTTTCAAATAACTATATCCAGCAGCCGGATATAGCATTTCAAGCCTTTTGGGGAGTTTCTTCGAATACACGGCTGCTGTCCCGAGCTTCATGCATTTGGGGAGCTCTCGAGAACCACCTGATCTCGTACTCCCCTCACATGCTCTATGGACCTGGCGGGAGCCCTGGGCTCAACTATCTCCGAGCTCAGGGTTCTCTCCCGGGACAGCATGCCAAACCTGCTTACAGCTGTCAAGCAATATCTAAGTGTGAACTCTTGAAGTGAAGTTTTTAAACTAATTTCGAGAGGAGCACGTGATATAATTGACAGCAGCTGGCCACCTATCTACACTCATTAGTTAGCCAATCAGATCTATCCTAACCCACTATAAGTAGCCTAGCTAGACATTACTCCCTTATCTTCGTTTTCCGAAGAAACCCCCCATCCACCCCTTTCTCCTCCTTTTCTCCTTTACAAAAAGGGGAGCTCTCGAGAACCACCTGATCTCGTACTCCCCTCACATGCTCTATGGACCTGGCGGGAGCCCTGGGCTCAACTATCTCCGAGCTCAGGGTTCTCTCCCGGGACAGCATGCCAAACCTGCTTACAGCTGTCAAGCAATATCTAAGTGTGAACTCTTGAAATCCTCTTAAGCAAACTGTCACTGGTGAAGCTTTTATCATCACACTCCTGTAAATTCATCAGTCTGGAGAGTTAATCATGATCTGCTTCATCTTTCAGTTCATCAAGGAGCTTGGAGAAACATGATCATCATCACAGCGACAACTGGAGGATTATTCATCGTCATCCTCATCATCATGTTTGCAATGTGAGCTCAATAAAACCTGTACCTAATTCATCTTACATTGAAGTAAAAGACATTTTTCATCTTTATTCTGACAGTCTTTCTAAAAGGAAGAGCAGAAGATCTGCAGTGAAAGAGTCTGTGGTGAGATGATCTTCATTATTTACTGTGTTTCCTGCATTTTTCCTACAGCAGTGATGATCATACAGAGATATTAAGAGTGTACAGTGAAAACTGACTTACATTGAGATCCTCTTGGCATTAATGTAGTTCAGCTCAAACTCCAGTTAAACAGTATAACCACTATGATGAAGGTGTGATGCAAGTGTTTTTTATTTTGTTATTTTCAGCCTAGGTCAGAAATCATTTTCACATTGTTCACATTGCAGTTCATTTGTGCATGCTGGTCTGAATAGATGTGTGTTGGGACACATTGTTGATGTGTTGCTATTTTGAGGTAACTGAAATAAACGGCATCATTGACCAACTAAAAGCTGCTCTAAAGTCAATGATGAAGTTTATTTTTTATTTTTTTGCTGGTTTGTTTTTATTTAAAAAGCATGTTAGTGATGTGACGGGGCAGCACGGTGGTTAGACTGATAGACAGTCCTATCTGAACATGCAGCTCAACTTCTTGTTCAAGCTCTTCTTCTCTCCAGACTGGATTACTGCAACTCTCTACTAGCCGGGCTCCCAGCTAACTCTATCAAGCCTCTTCAGATGCTCCAGAACGCAGCAGCACGAGTGGTCTTTAATGAACCTATAAGAGCACATGTCACTCCGCTGCTCATCCGTTTGCACTGGCTGCCAGTTGCTGCTCGCATCAAATTCAAAGCTCTGATGTTTGCTTACAAAGCGACTTCTGGCTTTGCTCCTTCTTATCTGCTCTCACTTCTGCAGATGTATGTGCCCTCCAGAAACTTGTGTTCTTTGAATAAACGTCGCCTCGTGGTTTCATCCCAAAGAGGGAAGAAATCACTTTCCCAAACTCTCGCGTTCAAAACTCCCTAACGGCAGAACGGCAGAGTCACTCACTAAATTCACTCAACTCAACTATTTAGTCTCCACTTTCCTTCCTAATCTGCAATTGCCTCTCTGGTTCTACCGCTAACTGCTGTATTACAAAAAAAATACTAATGTTTTGCTTCTTACACTTTACATACCTGAAACTTGCCTACATCATTTAATCATTGTTGCTCTTATAGTTGTGTAAATTGCTTCCTTGTCCTTATTTGTAAGTTGCTTTGGATAAAAGCGTCTGCTAAATGACTAAATGTAAATGTAAATAGTTCACCTCATAGCAAGAATGTCCTGGCTGGGCCAGTTGGCGTTTCTTTGAACTCCTGCGCCTTGTGCTTTATACCACAAGTTTAGATCTTTAAAATAGAGCCACAATGTCCTTCTCTCTGTCCAGATCTCAGACACTTATGCAGGTCTGGATGTCCAGTGCGTGACCCCTGACCTGTACAACACACTCACAGTAAGTGAAGGTCAAAGTCAGGCAATGGTCACTGATGATCAGATGATTGATGATCTCTCGCTGTCTTTCACACAGAGCGTTCACCACAGACCTGCTGAAAACTCCTGCTCCACTCTTGATCCTCAGAGCTCTTCTGAACATCACAATCCACCAGTAAGAGACAATATCAGCCATAAACCCTCTCAGCAGCAGTTTGATTATTGGATGAGCCTCGTCAAAGAGTTTAATGTGGTTGAGCTTCAGTCTTTCTTCATCTTATTGTCTGTTCAGATCAACAGGAGGAGGCTGCAGTGAGAGGCGGAGCCAGAAATCACCAATCCTGAGCTGTACGGGCGGAGCCACGGGTGATTGACAGGGATCATTAGTGTTGTCAATGTTTAACAGTGGTGTTGAAACTGTCTAAAAAGCTTAAGATAGGGAGGGGAAAAGCAATGTTTACTTTGTTTTCCATTATATAAGGGGTTTTTATATCACAATGGATCATTTCACACTCAATAGCCCCTATCATACACTTGGCACAAGTGTAATTTGCTAGTGTCAGCTCGGCACAGGTAGCATTTTCACATTTGCACTGCGTTGTCTTTACAGCAAATGAATTTGTGTGCACTTGGCTGCGCTGGTCTAAAAAGGAGGTGTGTTGAGGCGCATTGTTGGCACGTTGTTATTTTGAGGCAACTGAAAGCTACTAACCAACTAAGAGCTCCTCTGAAGTCAAGGGCACAGGGTTTTTTTATTTAAAGATTGCGTTTCTTTTATGTGTCTATGCAGGTCCAAAATGAATGTACACACTGCTTATTACACACACAGGGATGTACAGCAGTACACAAATATCTTTAAGTAGGAAAAATTACAGATTTAAAATGTAAAAATAAATATTATTGTCTACATGAATATAAAAACTGCAAGTTCCTCCCATGCTTTCTTTGCTTCGGTGAATTCAATGAAGGTGAAGTTTTTCTGCTTATAAAGCCTTACATGTATATAGCAGATATTCCATGGCGAGACCACAACTCACTAAAGTGAATGAGAGATGAATCTCTGATTGGTGTAATGCACGTTACTCTCTAAACACACCCACAACTCATTAAGAGAATAAGGATGAACCATTAAAACAGCAGTTTGATTTAAGGCAAGTCAAGGCAAGGCAAGTTTATTTATATAGCACATTTCATACACAGTGGCAATTCAAAGTGCTTTACATAAACAGGAATAAAAAAGACAAGTTTAGGAACATTAAATGCAGACAATAAAAATGATTAAAACAGATAAAAACAAATTAAAATGAGTTAAAATAGGTTATAAAAGAATGAAAAAGAAAACGAAAAACATAATAGTGTGATCAGATTTAAGCAGTTTGAAGTTGATTCAGACACCTCATTGGTGCTTTTGCCCATCTGCTTTAGACTTTTGTCCTTAGATTGCTAATATGGAGCTTAATGTCTCATATGTGCAACACACCCTCACTCCACCAGCAGAGGTCTCCATCTCCTGCCACTTAAAGAAATGTGGTTTTCTGATGTACAGTGCTTACAGTTATGTGAATGTGTTCTGCTTCATTAATAACCAATACTGTGAGTAATATCAATATGGTGAGTCTGTCAGTTTTGTAAAGGGTGGTGGTGACTGAAACAATTATCATCATGATTTATGTTTCATCTTTTTTACTTTTTTATTTTTAAATGTGTGTAATTGTGTGTCTGTAATGTATTGTTACTAATGCTGTCAATGCTGTAAAGTCTTTTAGAGTGTCAATAAATCCACCTGAGTTTCAATAATATATGTTTTTCAGCCTCCTCTGTTATTTATGCACTGATTAAACTGTTACTGAGCTTCTGCACATGACAGAACATGATTAAAGTGGAACCTTCTATGTTAATCTGCATATTAGTAAAAACACTGATCAACCAATGATGTTGCTGCTGAACATGACACAAGAGACAAAAGCTCCTTACTTCTGACATTACACACGAGTCATTGCTCATTCTTTCAACTTTAATTAAATGAAATCTCATTATCTTCTAACAATAAATTTATTAGAGACACCTTAATGAACATCCTGCAGCCCTGAAGTGGGAGACCACATTGGAAAACTAGGTTACTATTAGTAGTGCTCTTAATTAGTGTTACAGCCAGAAAAATCATTAGGAAGTTTTTTTAAATGCTTTTTTATTATTGATATGTTGTTTATTTTACTAGTGATTGTTAAATAATATACAGTTTGCAAGTTTTGTGACATTTATATAGCATACACAAAGTGCATAGGTCCATTTTATATGTAAAACCTATGCTTATTACATGGAAGGATTCATTCTTTTGAAACCATATAGTGATGTGCCCTAAAGCCCCAGTATAGTGATGTGCCCTAAAGCCCCAGTATAGTGATGTGCCCTAATACCCTAGTATAGTGATGTGCCCTAATACCCTAGTATAGTGATGTGCCCTAAAGCCCCAGTATAGTGATGTGCCCTAAAGCCCTAGTATAGTGATGTGCCCTAAAGCCCCAGTATAGTGATGTGCCCTAAAGCCCTAGTATAGTGATGTGCCCTAAAGCCCCAGTATAGTGATGTGCCCTAAAGCCCCAGTATAGTGATGTGCCCTAATACCCTAGTATAGTGATGTGCCCTAAAGCCCCAGTATAGTGATGTGCCCTAAAGCCCCAGTATAGTGATGTGCCCTAAAGCCCTAGTATAGTGATGTGCCCTAATACCCTAGTATAGTGAAGTGCCCTAATACCCTAGTATAGTGATGTGCCCTAATACCCTAGTATAGTGAAGTGTCCTAATACCCTAGTATAGTGATGTGCCCTAATACCCTAGTATAGTGAAGTGCCCTAATACCCTAGTATAGTGAAGTGCCCTAATACCCTAGTATAGTGAAGTGCCCTAATACCCTAGTATAGTGAAGTGCCCTAATACCCTAGTATAGTGATGTGCCCTAATACCCTAGTATAGTGACGGTTGTCTGTTTTTTTTTTTTTTTTTTTTTTGGTTGAGATGTTAAACTCTGTGGTCATTAAACATGCAATGGCACTTCTGGTAAAGAACAGGGGTGTAACCCTGGTGTCCAGACCAAATTACCTCACTCATATGTGTGTGTGCAAAATCTACCAGCAGAGGGCTCTACAAGTGTTGCATGCAGAACTGTTGCAAACAATTTATTTGTAATGAATTTAAACAAACAAATTGAGTTTAATAATGTTCAACTTAGTTTGTTTGTTTAAATTCAACACAAATAAATAGTTTACAACCATTTAACGTAAAAAAAATGAGCAAATCCAAAGAATCATCTTTGAATATTTTTTTCAGTGTATCTCCTGCAACTAATACTGTATTAACATTGATGTTCATCAACTGAAAACCCACTTTTTGTCTGCAAAAACATCAATACGTGTAAGATGGAAGATGAAATCTTGCAGTCTTTAGATGGGAAGAAAACAACACATGCTATTTTTCTTTAGTCAGTGGTTGGGTTGTTTTTGTTTTGCTGAAGTAGGAACTCGGATAGTTCTGCAACTCACACACACACCAGTAATGCTAAAGTGCATCTGTTCACAGTCAGTTGCTGTTGATCCTCTGCTCTTCAACACGGTAAGACAAACACACTGGTATTTGACTGATGATTAGTGTAGATGAAGCTCATATAACACATGATTTGTGACATGAGAAATATCTTGTGTTGATCTCAGTCATCAGTTGATTTACACACACTGATGTTGTGCATTAATAATCTGCAGATGTGTAAAGATCTTCCTAACACTAAGAGCTGTTTAGGGTGATGTACATTTACTGTTGATGAGTGTAGAAGTGATGATTAATGCTGGATTCTAGATAGATTTGATGCTGATGTGGCTCAGAATGGCTCCTGCTCTTCATCTGATCTTTCTGCTCATCATTCACAGTGAGTCAATCTTACATTCACATCACTGCTTTATTTCTCTGCATTTACACACACACCACAATCAGACATTATTCAGCAGGTTTCTGTGCTCGGATGATCATCTGTCATGAAATCCTCCTGTTTTTACATTATTTCCACACCCTTGTTTTAAGATGTTGATGCACTAGTGCTGACACTATCTTCATGGTGACAACAGCCAATTGGACCACAACACAGAAAAAAATGGCTTTTGACAGTTAGTCAATGACAGTCTGTGAGACAACAACCGAGAGACAATCAGAGATTCATGCGAGAATCATTTCTGCTAAATCATCTTGGTCTGTCCTAGGCTTAAATGGTAGAAATGTCTTATTGTAAATATCTACATACAGTGAGGATAATTCAGCATCCTCCAGTGTTTGTCATTTATGATAAAAGCTGCAGTTTAATTGAATTTGTAGTTTACATGTTAGAACATTATAAATATTCCTAGTGTTCCTAGAGTCTTATAGTCCAGTGTAACTGATAAACTATATTTTAGTCATGGCTATCTCTGTGTTTCAGGGGTTTCTGCTGCTGATTGGGGTGTGAATTACAGTCCTTTACAAATCTGTGCACTACAGAACTCAACAATGACAATCAGCTGCACTTTTACATACCCGACTACTGTACATCAGATCATAAAAGTGTTCTGGACTAAAGACCCTACAGATTGGCAAAACCCTCCAGATCTGTCTGAGGACCCTGAATACAGTCAGAGGCTTCAGTATCTGGGAGATAAACAGCAGAACTGCACCATCAGACTGAGTCATGTGACAAAGAAAGATGAAGGCAACTATTATTTCAAATTCATTACTAATGTATCAGGAGGAATTTGGATTGGTATTCCTGGAGTGCGTCTCTCTGTCACAGGTGACTCTCCTGAGGTTTCTCTCTTCTTGTGGTCATTATGTAGAATAATAATCAGTGTATGAGAGCAGCACTAGATATAATGTGTGTGTTGTGTTCAGATCTTCAGCTGGAGTCTCCTGAGAGAGTGACAGAGGGAGATTCAGTCCGTCTGACATGTAACAGCAGCTGTAAACTGACTGACACACCAACATTCATCTGGTACAGAAACTCACACACATTGACTAATATTGGAGATGAACTCAACATCAGCTCAGTCAGTAGAACAGAAGCAGGACACTACAGCTGTGGTGTGCAGAGACAAACGTACATCTCTCCTGCTGTTTATCTCAATGTCACATGTAAGTTTCATCTTTTTTATTTAAACCTTTTATTATTCACCTTTTTAAAGCATTCAGACTTACAATAAATGCAAATGTAGCCAGTGCATGAATTAAATATCAGAATCATAAAATACTCACTTATGCAAAAGGGCCACACTATGATATGAAAGCTGTTGTGTGATTTTAGTCTTAAGAAATGCTTTAACTCTCTAAATTAAAAAAACAGGCAACACTTTAGTTTATTTACCAATTCCCAATATCTTATTACCTTCCTATTATTAAGATATTGGTTGTTTATTAGTACTTATATAGTAGGATCATATTGTACATCTCTACCAATACCTAAACCCAACTACTACCTTTCTAACTATTTAATAAGAAACTAATTAGAAATGTTGTGTATGTTAAATGTATGTTAAAATACCACAGTTAATGTTTTGTGTATAATGAGAATTGTACCTTAAAATAAAGTGAACCAAATTAAGTTGACAACTTGCTTATATTGCTTATATCTACAGTAGGTAAATATAGCGAAATACGTGGACAAAATTAGTGTAACGATTGTAGACATTATGGAGTCAGCCAAATATGAAAGCACATGATCAGGGGTTTCAGGTCAAAATGGAAAAAAAAACTCCCGAACTGACTTGATCATGTGTATTCACAGTAAATACAGCAGAAAAGTTGATGGTTTGAATGTGATGTCTGTGTACGCTGTGTTTACTTCCCCGTTTCCTCCTGTGTGTTTTGTCATTTGGTTCCTTTTGTTCTGTTTCCCGCATTAGTTCCTCTGTATTGTTCATCTGTCTTTGTCATTGATCAGTGTGTTTAAGTTCTGGTAGCTCAAACCTGCTCTGGATCAGCAGCTTATTTCACATGAACAGGATTAGATTGGGTCTTTTCAAGCAAAGTTAATGCTGAAAGTATGTTCCAAATGCTGATACTTTATTACAGAAGTAGTTATTTACACTTGGAAAAATAGTATATTAGTTTTCAATATATATATATATATATATATATATATATATATATATATATATATATATATATATATATATATATATAATTGAAGTCAGAGTTATTAGCCCCCATGAGTTGTTAGCACCCGTCTTTATTTTTTCCCAACTTCTGTTTAACGAAGGGAAAACTTTGCTCAGCACAATTCTAAAAATAATAGTTTTAATAACTCATCTCTAATAACTGATTTATTTAAGCTCATGATGACAGTAAATAATATTTGACTAGATATATGAAATAAATTGTCATGTGGTGGTCTTCCTCAAGAGATTCAAAGAACTTTTTAGATACAAACACGCACTATTTTAACGTACCATCTTAGCTTCAGTACAATTTTAGTATGGTGATAATATTTATTATATGAATGAATATTTATTGATGAAAAGTTAATTTACATTTAGTCAGTTATTCCTTACGCCGCATAATTAACAAACTTAAACAAGCGACTACAGTAAAGAAAATCAGCTCTAACTGTAAAACTAAATAAATTGCTAAATGCTCTCGACACATGAAAATGTAAAGCCTGCAGCCCACAACAAAAAAGGAAAGTTATTGTGTCATACTAAATTACGAATTGTATGTACTTTTGCTCAAATGGATAATTGAATATTAACTGAATGCTGTCAGGTAATCTTATGAACACACCCTTTAGGTAATGTGCAACCTTTTTACATGTTTCTCCTGCAGATGCTCCAGATACTCCTGTGATCTCCAATAGATCTGCTGTAATAATGGAGGGAGATTCAGTGATCCTGAACTGCAGCAGCGACTCAAACCCTCCTGCAGAAATCAACTGGTATAAAGCAAATAAATCTCTGAGTTCTGGAAGAATCTTCAACATCTCCAAGATCAGCTCTGATGACAGTGGAGAATACAAGTGTAGAGCCAGAAATAACCATGGAGAGAAATACTCTGATCCTGTGACTTTAGATGTGCAGTGTGAGTTACCAAAACTATGACATTAAGCCATTAAAACATAATCTGTGATGTCAAAACTATTGTAACTGATAACAGTTTGTGTTTTTCTGTGTCAGACCCACCCAGGAACATCTCAGTGTTTATGAACAGATCTGCTGTAATAATGTCTGGAGATTCAGTGACTCTGAGCTGCAGCAGCGACTCAAACCCTCCTGCAGAAATCAGGTGGTATAAAGGAGAAACATCAGTAAGATCTGGAAGAATCTTCAACATCTCCAAGATCAGCTCTGATGACAGTGGAGAATACAAGTGTAGGGCCAGAAATGTACATGGAGAGAAATACTCTGATCCTGTGACTTTAGATGTCCAGTGTGAGTAAATAATGGTTCAGCAACCGATATATTAAGGGGGATTTTTTATGAAAAAGGTCATACAGTTGTTTGTCAAAAGTGTATAAATATAGCCAGCGTCTGAAATTAATAATAAATTATTTGTTCTAATCAGACTTGATAAAGTCAGTCTGCAGAAACACTTTGATTGACATTCAGTACGTGTCATCAGAGGGGGAAAGGCCCGCCTACTAGTGCCCGTCTCTCCCTCATTAGCATAAACAGCAGCCCTGAGTGAGAAGCAGCCGTCTGTCCATTAGCAATTAGAGTGTTTGAGCTGCTGAAGATAATGTCAGCATAGACTAAGAGGATTATAGATGTGGAGTTTTAGATGAAGCACAAATGAACAGCGACAGAGGCGACATAGACTGACAGAAGCTTTCTTAGTGATGGAAAGATCAAATCACTTTACAGACTTTGACCTTTGAGTAAAAAAAAAATGAATCTCTTTTCAAGTCACGTTGTTCAAATTGCCAAAACATGATTAAAATGTTATGAGTTGCTTTTAAACAAATCTACACCTAGCCCAAACATTAGGGACATCAGAGACTTATTTTACATCTTGTAACAAGAAAAAAAACAGGGCTTGGGGGGGGGATGGGTAACAGTTTCTCTTTAAATCCTCTAAAGCAGTGGTGCTCAAACTGTGGTACGTGTATTCAAAACTTATCAAAAATTATGTATATAATACGCCATATATGTCACATAGCCTATATTTCTGAGGTAATCTGCCACATTTTTTAAACTGTGCAGAGTTGTAGCTGCTTTACTGGGCCTACTACGCTACTGTATTTCAATACTGCTCATTTTGGTGGTACTTGGAGAGACATTTTTTTTTCTAAGGTGGCTCTTGATGAAAAAAGTTTGAGAACCACTGTGTAACGAGGAGTCTGACACAGAGTGATCCATTTGCAGTATATTTATTAAACACAAGTTTAATCACAATCACACAATACGCGCTGGCGTGCGAACTCACATTAAACGTAGTTATATAGGGTCTATGGGCTGGCTGTCAGGGAGTGTGATAGCAGGCATGGGTCAGAGGCAGGCGGTGTGGATCAGAGTCAAGGTACAATGCAAGGTTCGAGGCAGATGGCAGGCAGAGGCAAGGTCGAGCAACAGTCCAGGTAATACACGGGAGATCAAGAAAGGAGATAACGCTTAGTAATGTGCACAGGACTGAGCCGCTTATAAGTGTGTGCATGGATCATCAGTATGATGTGCTGCAGGTGTGTGTGGCAATCAGTGTATGAGCATGACGTAATGGTTAGAAGTCCGGCGATGGTGACCTCTGCTGGCCAGTGAGGGGAATGACTGGGACCGAGTCGGTGACGCACTGCACTAAAGTAAACTGTGATGCCATGTTTGTTGTCTGTGTTTCTGTTTTAGATCCTCCCAGGAGCGTCTCAGTGTCCGTCACTGATTCTGGTCAGCTTTTTTCTGATTCAGTGAGTCTGATGTGCATCAGTGACTCAAACCCTCCTGCTCTGAGCTTCAGCTGGTTTAAGGAGAATCAAAGCTCAGCTGTTGGATCTGGACAGAGTTTCAGTGCAGTACAGAGTGGACGCTTCTACTGTGAGGCTCACAATCCACATGGAGCTCAGAGATCAGACGCCGTCACTGTCACTGGTGAAGCTTTTATCATCACACTCCTGTAACTTCATCAGTCTGGAGAGTTAATCATGATCTGCTTCATCTTTCAGTTCATCAGCATGCTGTGAGAAACATCATCATCATCACAGCGACATCTGTAGGAGTATTAATCATCTTCATCATCGCCGTCATGTTTGCAATGTGAGCTCAATAAAAACTGCAGTGATCGTATAAAACTGAAGTAATATATTTTACTGTGCCAAATTTATCTGACATTTAAGTTAAATAATATTTATCTTTATTCTGACAGTCTTTTTAAAAGGAAGAGCAGAAGATCTGCAGGGAAAGAGTCTGCGGTGAGATGATCTTCATTATTTACTCACTATTTTGAGGCAAATTAAGTTGACCGCACTATTGACCCACTAAAAGCTGCTCTAAAGTCAATGGCTCAGTATTTTTGTTTATTTGTTTTTATTTAAAGAGCATGTAATGATATTTGCTTATAGACATGTGAACACATTACCCATTACACACACAGGGATGCACATCAGCACATGTATGATGGCAATTTTATGCCAAAGAGAACCGATCAAACCGTTGATGTTTATGCAGCGAGAGAACTGAACAGCAAGAGATTGTGAGCTTGATGTTTATGTGCACTGTCAACTAATACTTGAAGGGAATGTGAGATTGGAGATTCTGGTTCATCTATAACACACCCATAACTCATTAAGAGAATAAGGAAAATCATTAAAGACTATGTGCTGGGTGCACCGACCATTTTTGCCATCCTTAAAATACCAAAAGTAGATTCAGACTCACCCTATAGGAGCTCCTGCACCGTGTGCTTTAGATAACGAGTTTAGATAATTAAAACAGAGCCACAATGTCCTTCTGTCTGTCCAGATCTCAGACACATATGCAGGTCTGGATCTACAGTCCGCGACCTCTGACCTGTACAACACACTTGCTGTAAGTAAAACTCAAAGTCAGGCAATGGTCACTGATGATCAGATGATTGATGATCTCTCGCTGTCTTTCACACAGACCGTTCACCACAGACCTGCTGAAAACTCCTGCTCCACTCTTGATCCTCAGAGCTCTTCTGAACATCACAATCCACCAGTAAGAGACAATATCAGCCATAAACCCTCTCAGCAGCAGTTTGATTATTGGATGAGCCTCGTCAAAGAGTTTAATGTGGTTGAGCTTCAGTCTTTCTTCATCTTATTGTCTGTTCAGATCAACAGGAGGAGGCTGCAGTGAGAGGCGGAGCCAGAAAGAACCAATCCTGAGATGTGTGGGAGGAGCTATGGGTAACGGACAGGGAGCATTAGTGATGTCAACATGTAACAGTGGTGTTGAAACTGTCTACAAAGTGATTGGATTGGTTTTATGCAGAAATATTAAGATAGTGAAGGGGAAAAGCAATGTTTAGTAGTGTGATGGAATCTATCACAATTTATCATTTTACACTCAATAGGCCCTGTCATACACTTGGCAATTTGCTAGTGTCAGCTTGGCACAGGTATCATTTTCACGTTTTGCACCATGTTGTTTATGTAGCGAATACATTTGTGCTCACATGTGTGTGCTGGTCTGTGGAGGTGTGTTGAGGCTCAGTGTTGGCACATTGCTGTTTCTTAGACATCAACTGAAAGCTGCTCTAAAGTTAATTACTTAAAGAGCATGTTATTGTTATGCCCCTATGCATGTTGTAACAGTTAAATGTTACTATTATTATTGTCTGGTTTATTTATTTATCTTTCTGCATTGTGTATTGTTTGGCATGTCGACATGCAATACTGCTTCTGACCGCCGGGGGCGCTAGGTTAATTTGCACCTTATAAAGAGCCACTTGCCATAGAGTAAGATGGGGTGTTTGGTAGAGTGGACACCACATGGATCACTTTCACTACCGGCATTCACATTCAGTCCAATGTTTGAGAACTATTGAAGTTATCGCTCAATTAAAGGACTGTTTATATGTTGCTATCCTTGTGCATCTGTTGGCTTGCTGTTCTCACTGGGAGATGCTAAGATTAACTAACTTCTTGGGGAGCAACATATTCTCACTCAACAGAGGGCAACTTGACTGCTTTCCTACACACAACGACAGTCTCTTTTCTAAGATTACTGGACATCAGAGGGAATTATTGCATCACTGTCAAGTGCTCTTGATGATAAGTGGTCTCTGACTTTATTTCAGAAAAACTATTTAGTGTTTGACTTTAAAGGGGTGGTCCAGAATGTTATTTTTAAGGCTTGGTTGTGTTAATAAGATGCAAAGCAATGTGTGCTCATGTTTAACTTGAAGGAAATCGTGTTATTTTTTCATAAATCTCACTTTGATTATACACAGCTACTCAGCTAACATGAAAACGACTGTCATATTTCCTAGTTCCTCTAAAATGCCCACCCTCAAGTGACTCTGATTGGTCATCATCATAATATGCTGTGATACGCCGATCGGCTTCACGTCACGCCCTGACAAGCACGCGCGTTTTGTGTAAACAGTCAGTCAGTCAGTCAGTCAACACGTGTCTGTAACGAGTGAAAATGGGATGCGGCTCCTTTAACTGTTTCTGTGCCTTTTAGTGTGTTTATGCGTGTATACGATGAAGTATTTGTAACACGAGAAGCGCATGTGCGCGGGAGAGATTTTTATTGTTCTTTTTCTCTCATGCTCGGATTAAGTTATTTTCTGTGGTGACAGAATAAAGCACAAGATGTGAGATGAGACCTTTGTGAGCCTGGATTGATTTGTTTTTGATGTTACACTCCAGTTGGGAAATCATTGCTGTATTTTTTTTAAATCAATGCGTTACAGGACGTCTTTCATGCATATGCGGAATATGCCTGTGTAAGTAACATGAATCGTTCACATATCTTTTGCGACTTTATTGTCCGAGTTGTAAAACGCATAGCATAGCTGCCTATAGAGAGAAATTCTGCCGTCTCACACAGAGAGACGCAGGTGCTGGCCAAGAGTGCGTGTATGTGTATGTGTGTGTGTGCGTTTACAGCCGTTTGATAAATATGGATTTGTAACGTTAGCTAAGTCGTTAGCGGTTACCATAATTTCCCGTTGTTTACATCTTTGCTACAACACACCGTTAAAGTTAGACACTGTACATGTCATGATCAATTTTAACAAATAAAAACACTTACAGGTCATGACTCAGAGTTCACAGCGTCTCCTTGCTCCATCTTTGAGGAGATTTTAACTGAATCCAGCACTGAACTGGGAGAGATTCTGGAAGCTGTGTTTTGTCAAATCATGCTTGCTATGTATTTTATAGTTCTCTGGAACATAATTAATATTGAACTGTAAGCACTTCTGTGTTTGGGTCGTGTCATTTGGAAGCCCAACAACAGAAACAGAACAGCTCTGTGGAAACAGCAGGATGGCATTTCTCTCTCTGCAGTAACGTTACAGCGCCTCTGGCCACGGCCTTTACCTGCGCAGTGTGGGATGCGCAATAACGAACTTTTGTGATCTCACAGGGGGCGGAAGTATTTTTTGTAGTCCCCAAAATTCGTTAATTGTAGGCGTTGCTAAGCTAACTCTGTACAAATCAAGGTCTCCCTTTGCATTAAACTTTGAATATTTTACATTCAGAGATGCTGTTTATGTTCACACAGCTACATTACACATCAACTGAAGTTTAAAATATAATATCGTAGTGGACCACCCCTTTAAAATGTCTTGTTTATTTTTGTTGTGATTGTTGTTTTGCTTGTTTATTTGATGAGTAAACTATACACGTGGGTAAAATAAAACAGTTTACACTTGCTATAATTTGTTTCAAGAGAGTGTTTATTCAGTCAGCCAAATTTCTGTAGAACCGCCTCAGAGTAATACCAAATCAAGGAGAGGAGGTGTTGCAATGTATGCATATACACACTGATTATTACACATACAGGGACGTACAGCAGTACATAAATATCTTTAGAGGTCTCATGAAATTATAATAAAGTTGTTTAGATGTTAGTATCAGAGGTGTTAGTTTTAAGGAAATCTATAAGCTAGTGTTCTCCAAAACAATGACAAAACTCACATTTAGAAGATATAAAACTGATATAAACATGTAACGCTCGTAGTTTGTCACTTCCGCCTAAATGGATCAACAGTTTTAGCCTATTTACGTCATCTCACACTGTAGTGTCTCTTCACATCATAACCAATCAAATGCTTTGTCGTATCTGACATGCCCCGCCCTTTTCTAGATGCTTCTCATCTGCTTTTCACTTGATGCACTTGAGCTCAACCACTCTCACTGGCAGAGCGGTGATAAAACAAAACACTATTGGCTGATTTTTTTTAAGGGGAGGAGCTACACTATGTCCCACCCTCTGGTGATGTTTTGGTTGAGATTTTAGTCAAACATTGAATAAAACTGCACATTTCAAAGCACTTCAAGAGACCTTAAAATATAAAGTAAATTAAAGATTTTAAATGTAAAAAGAAATATTATTGTCTGCATGAATATAAAAACCCTGATCTGAGCTTTGGTGAATGTAGTTTTCAGTGAATAGTGAATGTGCCATGGCGAGCCCACACCTAAGTCTTAAAGCGAATGAGAGATGAGTCTCTGATTGAGTTATTACACCCTAAACACATCCATAACTGATTAAGAGAATAAGTAAGACCCTTTTAGATCATGTGCCGGTCTAAATCCTTAAATAGCAAAAGTTGATTCAGACACGTCCTTGATGCTTTTGCTCCATCTGCTTTAGACTTTTGTGCTTAGATTGCTAAAATAGAGTTCATTGTGTAAAACCCTCACTCCACCAGCAGAGGTCTCCATCTCCTGCTACTTAAAGAAATGTGGTTTTCTGATGTACGGTGCTTAAAGTTATATGAATGTGTTCTGCTTCATTTATAACCAATCATATTGTGAGTAATATCAATATTCTGATTAGTCAGTTTTGTTAAGAGTGGCAGTGACTGAAACGCTTCTCATCCTAATTGAATCTTTTTTCCCTTTTCATTTTTAATTGTGTGTAAATGTGCGTCTGTAATTTATTGTTACTAATGCTTTGTCAATGCTGTAAAGCGTTTTACAGTGCCAATAAATCCTCCCGAGTATTAATAATCCATTCTGCAAATTACAGAAAATTCATATTATGAATCTGCATATTAGTAAAAACACCAATCAACCAATGATGTTGCCGATGTACATGACACAAGAGGCAAAATCCCTTTACATTATATATTCATAACATCATTCCTGTTTCTATGAACTTTTATTAAATGAAATCTCATTATCCTCCTTACAATACATTTATTAGAGTAAGACTTAATGAACACCCTCCAAACACTGAAATGAACAAAATAAACTGAGATTGGAGACTAAAACCCCAGTATAGTGATGGGTCCTAATGCAGTATAGTGAAGGGAACACTATACTGTCACGGTTTGTTGACGGGACGGAGACAAAAAAAGGTGTTGGATCCAAGTGCATTTAATGAAGAAATCGTGCAGTAACAGAAAAACCAAGATATCCAAAACAAAATATCAACAAACAAACAAAACAAGAAACTATGGCAGAATAACTAGACCAAGGCTCAGGAACTAAAGCAAGATACAAAACACATCTCAGGAGCAACATACCAAACAAGACAAACGACGGGTGAAGGGTGTATAAATAGTCATATGTGAAATACAAATAAAATGACCACTAGGTGTCACCGTAGAGTGGTGTTTCGAAACGTTTCGAAGCTTCGACACATTAGCTTCGACAGTTTCAGTGTTTCACGAAGCCTCGCTTTGCCCACCACTAACTAGAACAAGGCTCAGGAACTACAGCAAGATACAAAACACATCTCAGGAGCAACATACCAAACTACGGGTGAAGGGTGTATAAATAGTCCATGAATCAATCAAGAAAAACGGAGACAGCTGTGATGCAATCAGTATAAGTGGGTTCCAGGTGTGTGCATGAGGTATGTATGAACTTGTAGTCTTTAGCAACTGTAGTTCGCTCTTAGAGTTCCCTCTGGTGGTTACAGACAGTCATGACACTATCCTGTCTTTGCACACGAGTGTTTTGCATTTGTTAAAATGAGGTCCTGACTCTATTTTTATTAAAATCCAATGACACTTCTGGTAAAGAGTAGGTGTAGCCCTGGTGTCCTGACCAAATTACCTCTCATATGTGTGTGAGCAAAATCTACCAGCAGAGGGCTCTATCTCCTGCCACTGATACTGTATAAACATTGATGTTCATCAACTGAAAATCAGCCTTTTTTGTCTGCAAAAACATCAATAATTGTATGAAAGAAGATGGAATCTTGCTGTCTTCAAACTAATGTAAAGGATAAAAAAGACATGCTGTTTTTCTTTAGTCAGTGGTTGACTTTTTGTTGTTTTGCTGAAGTAGGAACTCGGATAGTTCTGCAACTCACACACACAGCCAGTAAAGCTAAAGTGCATCTGTTCACACAGTCAGTTACTGTTGATCTGCTGCTCTTCAACACGGTAAGACACACACACTGGTATTTGACTGGTGTATATTGGCTGTTTAGGGTGATGTACATTTACTGTTGATGAGTGTAGAAGTGATGATTAATGCTGGATTCTAGATAGATTTGATGCTGATGTGGCTCAGAATGGCTCCTGCTCTTCATCTGATCTTTCTGCTCATCATTCACAGTGAGTCAATCTTACAATCACATCACTGCTTTATTCCTCTGCATTTACACACACCACACACTCAGACATTATTCAGCAGGTTTGTCTCAGTAGATTGGATAACAAAACACTAAAAGCTGCTTTTGACAGCAAGTTAATGATAGTCAGAGACAACACAGTTTTTATTTCTGCTAGTTCTTTGACGTCGAGTTGGTGTGTTCTGGGCTCAAATAGTGGAAATTCCCTAAAACTGGTGTTTCCTATTGTGAATTTGTTCATTCAATGAGGATAATTCAGCACCATCCAGTGTTTGTCATTTAAGATAAAAGCTTCAGATATAATTTATATTCTTCATCATATAATGTAGAAAATGCTTTGTATATTATTATTAATGTACTGCTCTTTTTATTTCCCCATTGTTTTCCATTGTTGTTTTTTTCTCGGCTGGTTTATTTTCTCTCTCTGCTTATTTCTGTCCTCCATCAAGACTGAAGTCATTCACACTGAGATCATTATTCATATTCACAACATCAGCTTAAAATATCATCTGTAATGAGTCCCTGTGTACAACTAACAGCACGTGTTCCTAGTGTCTTATAGTCCTGTTTACTGATAAAACTACATTTTCATCATGATTATTTCTGTGTTTCAGGAGTTTCTGCTGCTGATTGGGGTGTGAATTACAGTCCTAAACAATACTGTGCACTACAGAACTCAACAATGACAATCAGCTGCACTTTTATATACCCGACTCCTGGATTTCAGATCATGAAAGTGTTTTGGAACAAAGACCAAGAAAAATATGATGGAGAAAACTTTACAGATCTGTCTAATTACTCTGAATACAGTCAGAGGCTTCAGTATCTGGGAGATAAACAGCAGAACTGCACCGTCAGACTGAGTCATGTGACAGAGAAAGATGAACATGATTATTATTTCAGATTCACTACTAATGTAACTTTTGGAAAAGTTATTGGTATTCCAGGAGTGCGTCTCTCTGTCACAGGTGACTCTCCTTGTGTTTCTCTCTTCTTGTGGTCATTATGTAGAATAATAATCAGTGTATGAGAGCAGCACTAGATATAATGTGTGTGTTGTGTTCAGATCTTCAGCTGGAGTCTCCTGAGAGAGTGACAGAGGGAGATTCAGTCCGTCTGACATGTAGAAGCAGCTGTAATCTGACTGACACACCAACATTCATCTGGTACAGAAACTCACACACATTGACTAATATTGGAGATGAACTCAACATCAGGTCAGTCAGTAGAAGAGAAGCAGGACGCTACAGCTGTGGTGTGCAGGGACAAACGTACATCTCTCCTGCTGTTTATCTCAATATCACATGTAAGTTTTCATCTTTTTATTTCAACCTTTTAATTTTTCACCTTTTTAAAGCATTCAGACATGCAATACATGTAAATGTAGTCAATGCACAAATTAAATATTAATCAAAATCATAAAATACTTAATTATGCAATCGTGCCACACTATGATATGAAAGCTGTTGTGTGATTTTAGTCTTAAGCAATGCTTTTTAGTTTAGTTTAGTTTAGTTTAATGCTCTCTCTCTCTCTCTCTCTCTCTCTCTCTCTCTGTCTGTCTGAATTTAAAATACAGATAACACTTTATTTTATTTACCATTTCTCAGTATCTTATTACCTTCCTTTATTAGGATATTGGCTGTTTATTAGTACTTATGTAGAATGATCATATTGTACATCTCTAGCAATACCTAAACCCAACTACAACCTTTCTAACTATTATTAAGGAGCTAATTAGAAATGTTGTGTGTGTTAAATCTATATTCAAATATCTAAGTTAATGGTTTGTTAATAGTGAGAATTGTACCTTAAAATAAAGTGAACCAAATTAATTTGACAACTTGCTTCCACTGCTTATATCTACTGTAGGTAAATATATACATGGACAAAATTAGTGTAACATATGTGGACATAATGGAGTCAGCCAAATATGAAAGCACATGATCAGGGGTTTCAGGTCAAAATAGAAAAAGAAATCCCGAACACAGGTTTGACTTGATTGTGTGTGTTCACTGTAAAGACAGCAGAAAAGATGGTTTGAATGTGATTTCTGTGTACGCCGTGTTTACTTCACCGTATCCTCCAATTTTTTTTTTCATTTAGTTCCTTTTTTTCTGTTTCCCGCATTAGTTCCTCATTATTGTGTTCATCTGTCTTTGTCATTGATCTGTGTGTGTTTAAGTTCTGGTAGCTCAAACCTGAACAGGATTAGATTGGGTCTATTCAAATAAAGGTAATACTGATATGTACCAAATGCTGATATTTGATTACAGTAGTAGTTGTTTACAAAATAGTAAAATAGTTTACTATATATAGATATACAGTTAAAGTCTGAATTATTAACCCCCCTGAATTATTAACACCCCTGTTAATTTTTTCCCCGATTTCTGTTTAACAGAGAGCAGATTGTTTTAACGCATTTCTAATCATAATAGTTTAATAACTCATCTCTAATAACTGATTTATTTTATCTTTGCCATGATGACAGTAAATAATATTAGACTAGATATTCTTCAAGACTCTTCTATACAGCTTAAAGTGACATTTAAAGGCTTAACTAGGGTAATTAGGGTAACTAGGCAGGTTAGGGTAATTAGGCAAGTTATTGTACAACAATGGTTTGTTCTGTAGACTCTAGAGAAAAACAATATCTTAAAGGGGCTAATAATATTGACCCTAAAATGTTGTTTAAAAATTAAAAACAGCTTTTATTCTAGCTGAAATAAAACAAAGACTTTTCCCAGAAGAAAAAAAACATTATCAGACACACTGTGAAAATAACCTTGCTCTGTAAAACGTCATTTGGGAAATGTTAAAAAAAAAAAAAAAAAATCAAAGGGATCTAATAATTCTGACTAAATATATATATATATATATATACATATATATATATATATATATATATATATATGATTTATATATATATATATAAATCTAAGCTCCAAACTAAATTGTCATGTGGTAGTCTTCCTCAAGAGATTCAAAGAACTTTTTAGATACAAACCCGCACTATTTTAACGTACCATTTTAGCTTCAGTGCAATTTTAGCATGGTGATAAACATGGCAAACGGTTTTTGTTGTTTTATTTTTAAAGACTTGTAATTTATGAGAGTCATGCACATGTTTGGGCAGCTGATATGCCTTAATTGAAACACTGCATAATTAAAAAAACCTAAACAAGCGACTATAGTAAAAAAAATCCACTCTAACTGTAAAACTATATAAATTGCTAAATACTCTCGACACATGAACGTGTAAAGCCTGCAGCCCACAACAAGTATGGAAAGTTATTGTGTCATACTAAACTACAAATTGTATGTATTTTTGCTCACATGGATAATTGAATATTAACTGGATGATGTCAGGTAATCTTATTAACACCCCTTTAAGCAATGTGCTACCTTTTTACATGTTTCTCCTGCAGATGCTCCAGATACTCCTGTGATCTCCAATAGATCTGCTGTAATAATGGAGGGAGATTCAGTGATCCTGAACTGCAGCAGCAACGCAAACCCTCCTGCAGAAATCAACTGGTATAAAGGAAAAACATCTCTGAATTCTGGAAGAATCTTCAACATCTCCAAGATCAGCTCTGATGACAGTGGAGAATACAAGTGTAGAGCCAGAAATGAGCATGGAGTGAAATACTCTGATCCTGTGACTTTAAATGTTCAGTGTGAGTTAGCAAAACTACCTGACATTAAACCACTAAAATATAATCTGTGATGTCAAAACTATTTTGACTGATAACAGTTTGTGTTTTTCTGTGTCAGACCCACCCAGGAACATCTCAGTGTCTATGAACAGATCTGCTGTGATTATGTCTGGAGATTCAGTGACTCTGAGCTGCAGCAGTGACTCAAACCCTCCTGCAGAAATCAACTGGTATAAAGGGAAAATGGTTGTTCGATCTGGAAGAATCTTCAACGTCTCCAAGATCAGCTCTGATGACAGTGGAGAATACAAGTGTAGATACAAGAATCTACATGGAGAGAAATACTCTGATCCTGTGACTTTAGATGTTCAGTGTGAGTAAATAATGGTTCAGCAACTGATATATTAAGGGGGACCTTTTTTGAAAAAGGTCAGACAGTTGTTTGTCAAAAGTGTAAAAATATAGCCAGCGTCTAAAATTACTAATGAATTATTTGTGTTTGTCATAATCAGACTTGATAAAGTCAGTCTGCAGAAACACTTTGATTGACATTCTCCCTTTGTACGTGTCATCAGAGGGGGAAAGCCCCGCCCACTAGTGCCCATCTCTCCCTCATTAGCATAAACAGCAGCCCTGAGTGAGAAGCAGCCGTCTGTCCTTTAGCCATTAGAGTGTTTGAGCTGCTGAAGATAATGTCAGCATAGACTAAGAGGATTATAGATTTAGAGTTTTAGATGAAGCACAGATGGTCAATGACAGGAGCGACATAGACTGACAGAAGCTTTCTTAGTGATGGGAAGATCAAATCATTTTACTCGGACCTTTAAGTCTCCTCCAGCAAGATGAAGGAACCTCTTCTTCAAGTCACGTCATTCACTTTGCCAAAATATCAATAAAATATTACGAGTTGCTTTCAAACACATCTACAACTAAACTTTAGGGACATCAGAAACGTATTTCACATCTTGTAAAAAGGGTCCTATTTAAATCCTCTTAAGTAAACTGTGATGCCATATTTGTTGTACGCATTCATGATATCAGTGTTTTCTGTTTCAGATCCTCCCAGGAACGTCTCAGTGTCCGTCTCTGATTCTGGTCAGCTTTGGTCTGATTCAGTGAGTCTGATGTGCATCAGTGACTCAAACCCTCCTGCTCTGAACTTCAGCTGGTTTAAGGAGAATCAAAGCTCAGCTGTTGGATCTGGACAGAGTTTCAGTGCAGTACAGAGTGGACGCTTCTACTGTGAGGCTCACAATCCACATGGAGCTCAGAGATCAGACGCCGTCACTGTCACTGGTGAAGCTTTTATCATCACACTCCTGTAACTTCATCAGTCTGGAGAGTTAATCATGATCTGCTTCATCTTTCAGTTCATGAACATGCTGAGAGAAACATCATCATCACAGCGACATCCTTTGGAGTATTATTCATCTTCATCATCATTGCCGTCATCCTGTTTGTAATGTGAGTTCAGTTTAAGAAATTCTATTTTATTTCTTAAAATAAAAACGAATATCTGATATAGTCAAATTTGCTTATTCATGCAACCTAGGCTCATTGGAGATATGTGCCCAGGGCTACATCTTTGGGAACTGTGAAATACATGCCCAGGGTTACATCTGCTTAAGGTTTTTGATGTCACAAATGCACTAGTGGGTGCAGTGTACATTTTTGACAATCTCAAACATGTTCCTGGGCTATGCTTCGCATAAAACATTTCCTTCTAGGAATGTAAACCCCGGTGTCCCGTCCAAATTCCCTCCATCGGCCTTTACCCATCATGGCCTCCAATCATCACCATCCACTGAATTGGCTCTATCACTGTCTCTCCACTCCACCAATAGCTGGTGTGTGGAGCGCACTGGCGCCGTTGTCCTGTGGCTGCTGTCGCATCATGCAAGTGGATGCTGCACACTGGTGGTGGTGTGGAGAGATCCCCCTCATGATTGTGAAGCGCTTTGGGTTTATGGCCATGCACAATAAATGTGTATATGTGTGTATAAATGTGTATATAAATACACATTTCATTGCATTCTCATAAATCAGAGGTCGATGTGTTTATTCTTCTCACTCTTATCTATGGTAGAGATTTAGGTCAGCTAGTCCTGCTTGTCTTGCATCTTCATTTCTATGGACACTTTTTACAAGACTGACACGTTTAAAGCCTGGTTTATATGAGCTAGTTCGCTTAAGTGTGTGCGATGAATGTGACGCCATATCGGTGTTTGCAGAGGTTCACTTTGGGTGTGCATGAAATGACTTCGACTGGTGGGGCGCACAAAATTCTTGAGCAAACATTTCGCAAAGTTGAATAATGAATCATTTTGAGGAGATTTTGTCTGAAACAGGCACGACTGTACACACATCTTCATGGTCCGTCCATGTGATCATAGTGATAACCAGATGACCAATAATTTTTAGCTAGAAATTGCAACAGCAGTGGGAAAAGAGGAAAGTTTTTTTTTTTTTTTTTTTTTTTTTGTAAAAGTTTGGAAAAACCTGAGGGATAAGTTTGTTAAAGCCAAAATATATTATTTAATAATGGAAATGTTTTTAATGTGGATATTCACTTCTAATTTAAAATAATTCAATAGTTACAAAACTGTATATAAGAAACAAATTATTTATTTGATAAATAAAAAATAAAAATAACATACTAATGCACTGTTTTTCTGGACTTGGTCATCATGGTTTATTCTTTCAATAAAAATATACATCTATATATATATATATATATATTTGTAGAGCAACTTATGTTCTGTTGTTATTAATATTTTAATAAACTTTAATAAGAGATATGAATAAAAGCAGGTGATGCATCAAAGTTTGATTTAAAACATTTTTATTGGTCATAAAAATCTTTATAAGGGCGACGCAGTAGCTAGTGATGTCGCCTCACAGCAAGAAGGTCACTGGTTCCAGCCCTGACTGGCTCAGTTGGCGTTTCTGTGTGGAGTTTGCATGTTCTCCCTGTGTTTGCGTGGGTTTCCTCCGGGTGCTCCGGTTTCCCCCACAGTCCAAACACATGCGGTACAGGTGAATTGGCTAGTCTAAATTGCACGTAGTGTATGAGTGTGTATGGATGTTTCCCAGAGATGGGTTGCAGATGGAAGGGCATCCGCTGCGTAAATACATTGTCCGCCAAGTTGGCGGTTCATTCCGCTGTGGCGACCCTGGATTAAATAAAGGGACTAAGCCGAATGCCAATGAATGAATGAAAATTTTTATAATCATAAAAATTCATAAAAATAATTAGTTTAAAAATCTTGTATGATATCAATGATATGATGTAGTTCTGGAAATTTCATAAAAACCTAATACGTTTCGTGTGGTGCGCGTGCAGTCAGCTGAGCTGCCAAAAGTAGAAATTAGGGTTAACGGCATAACATCATAATCTTAATTCCTTGAAAGTTGTAACATTTGTTTAAAAAAAATCGTGCAAACATTGATATACATTTATGTATGTGTTATATCACCTTTGCATCGAATTACAAAAAGTCTAATTAGTGCGTGTGCGAGGTGTTTGGTATGCAGCATCTATGGGGCTGAGAGTGAATTTGATGTTATTCTCTCCTTCTGGCTGCCGTTATCATTCGCACACTATTGTTTTCCTTCTTCTGAAAGTCTTGATGACACCATAGTGGACTTTTTCTGTTATTATTTCAGCAAATAGGATTGTAAAAGAATTATTTGTTGTTACCCATCACTGCGCTCTAAGTGTACCTAAGTGTCTAAATGTAAAGGGTCTATAGCGCTTCATACTGCTTAACATAGATGACATTCTAGTAAATTGAAACCGCTTCAGTAGAGTTTGACATTTAAATTCAGTTCAGTGTAATAATGTAAATGTCACTGCTGAAATGTCACTATACCGACAGTGGCGAGGAACAATCTTCACCATACTGTATATCAGCTTCCCTAAACCCAATGCATAGTTTATTGAAAAGCAAACAAAAACATCCGTAAAATAGCAAATTTCCATATTTTGTGCTCTTTTTTTTACTATTCTTAATTTATGCTTTTAAATTGCATTGTGGAACCCTCCTCCAACAACTTTTAGTGTTGAAAAGTTTAAAAAAGTGACTTTTATTGACATTTTTAATAGTTCATTGTGAAATATTGTCAGGTTGGTGGTGTTAACCTTTCCTGCTCTGTCCCTTTGTTGTGTTGGAGATAGCAGGGGAGATTCACTTATTACTCCAGGGCTGATGAATAATAGTTTTGGGGTGAACTCCCTTCTCTTTTCATTGCAGTCGGTGAATGAACGAGGACACATGTAACTATTAATTTATTAATATCCAATTATTTATTAATATCCGTGTGGTACAACTAAATCAGTCACTAAAGAGGGAACATCAGTGAAAAACTGTCTCACTGCAAAACCGCTCCTCTCTCTGTCTCTCTCCCCCTCCGCTTCTCACACACACACACACACACAAACTACAGCCCCGCCCCTTAAAGGTCTCGCACATTTTACAACAGTGGCTTAGTGGTGAGCAAGAAGGTTGTTGAGTCCCGGTGTCCAGACATTTTAATCACGCCATCAGATTATGCTGCCAACACTGTATTAGAATGGTGAGGTTGGGGTTAGGGATTATATATTAGGATTAGTTTCATAGCTTCATATCACACTACTCCACATTGAAACTTACACTGGTAGTAAAATCTGATGGGTGGCATATAGTGCATTTTGAATGGAAGGTACTGTACAGTAGGTTTCCCCAACACTCCAAAAACATGCGCTCAATGGCAATTGATTAACTAATTTGGCTGTAGTGTATGAGTGTGTGTGTGTGTGTGTGTGTGTGTGTGTGTGTGTGTGTGTGTGTGTGTATGTGTGATTGACAGTGTGTATGGGTGTTTCCCAGTACTTGGTTGCAGCTGGAAAGCTTCCACTGTGTAAAACATATGCTGAATAAGTTAGCAGTTCATAAATAAGATAAATAAGAGACTAAGCTGAAGAAAAATGAATGAATTCATTAATTTTATCGGGTTTGTAAATAACAATACAGAAGCCCGGTAATTAACTGCTAGTTCTTTTTTCTGTTATTTTACACACTTAATTGTCTATATATTATTTATTATACAATATATTTCTTCAAACCCCTGAAACTTTAGTAAGTTTAGTAACTGTAGAGTTGAATTTTC